GAGAATGTACAAATGGTTAACATTGTTTGTGTCATATCAGTCAGAAAAGCAGTTTCGGTGCTTTTTTTTATTTTTATTTTTTAGCTAACTTAGTTGTTATTCTTGACTGAATAGCGCTAGGTTTTCAGAAGCCCTTTAAAATTAAATATGTACACATTTTGGATTAAATGAAAGTAGTCAAATTTTTTAATTAGCATGGTTTTGTGTTTTGCTTTGGTACCGAAATTGGTAGCGAGAACCGTGGATTTTCGCTGGTATTGGTACCGAATACTGAAATTTTGGTACCGTGACAACACTAATTTTTGACTATATTCTACTCTCATTCAAAATTTCTAATTTAATTAGCAGTGCATGGGACATAGCAAAATAGCACGCATTTTAGCTTTCACGAAACTAAAAAAAAAATCTAAAAAATGTATCTAAAGAGCCAAGTAATGATTTTGTTATGAATATAAAAACTTAATACAACACACCCTTTCATAGTCATTTTTATGTTACGTTATCACGGCAAATGAGTTATGTACAGGACACCAAAAGGCACCCTACAGTGATACTGACCCATTTATATGATGATATTCTGCTGCTTGTAATGTAAATCAGTGAGATGTTTATAACAGTGCAGCAGATACTGACATAAAGTGATCTAAATATCAGTCGTCTCTATATCTGCAGTAATCTGTCTCAGTAAGATGAGATTGAAATGCTCCAAACATATAATGCAGTGATTGAGAGCTGAAGAAATAAAGGCTCCTCAGAAGATGTGAGATGTTCTGGAGGCTTGTGAAGATCATTCCTCCGCTGAGGAACAGTGAAAGTAAAGCTTCTGGAAACAAACGCTCCTCAAAAGATCCTGAGGATCAGATTTGAGACTCTAAAACATGATTGATGGAGAATCAAGTAAAGCTGAGCTGCTTCAGTCCAGTGAGTGTTCATCTGGAGATATTACTGCAGTTATTCTGACCTTTACTTGATAAAAATCAGTCAAGATTTCAGATTTGACAGCAGAATGCAAAGTTTAGATCATGTTAATAATTTGGAGGCTTTAGACATTGATACAGTAGGCTTTATAGGGGTAAAGATTAGACTTTAAACACTAGCAATTTCCTTGAGCTAAATTCTAATAACAGGAATGCTAGTCATTTTTATTTGTATTGTGAAAATAACTGCTGTAGAAATTAATTTAAAAGTTAAAATAATTTTAAATATTAAAAAATATTAACATGCACTATTAAGCAACGGTTAAACACTTTTTCAACCATTGGTTTATCACCTTTAAGTAACGAACGTTAAATAGTCTAACGTTACCTCAGGCACACAAACTTGATACTACAGTAAAGTTTTGCCTTTAATATTAATACAACATTAACTTGGGATACGCTGGGTAATAAGGAATTAATATCTTATAACAAAATGCGTTTATACTTTACCTCCGCATGACTTTATCTCTGTTGTTTACACTGTTATCTGTTTCAAACGCTACCTCTCTTCCTCAAAGAAACTGCGCGCGCATTTGACGCACACCACGTTCGCATTTCCCCGGGTGTTTCTTAAAGAAACAGTCCTACAATTCAATCAGTGTTTCACAAATACGTGATGTCGTCAGCTGCTTTTACTGCTTTTAGACTCTGCACATGATGTGATTATTTGCTTTCAATTGCCTGAGCGTATCAGAGGAACTTTATCTCGCTGCGAGAGCCCGTTCAAAGGTTTGTTTGACATGTCAGAGCCAACATGGCGTCATCGTGTGCCCAGTTTCACGGAGTCTGCGGTCGATTCCATTGATGATCGGGCCACTGCTGACTTACAGTGCGCTCTATCATGGCGGAGGCAGGACAGGCGGAATCAGAGCAGGTAATAAGACAGCTAAACAAAAGAAGCGTTACATGTTATATTCTCATCTGAAATGGATTTATAATTACTATTTTACTCTGAAAGGACATCGAGAGCAAGATCGAAGAAACACGGCAGAGGTTTAAAAGCGAGTATGTTGGAGGTGAGTTAGCAGTACGCTAAGTTCTCAAGTGTTGTGATCTTCACGATAACATGCATTCTCATCTCATAATTGAACGTTAATATTAAATATTAGAATATCGACAGTGACATTTAAGACTTTTATGGATCGTGTGTTATGGTGAAGGTTCATTACGAGAGCTGATGTTTAATATTTGATATCACAGCTGTTGGATTCAGCTGTCAGTCAGAAAACCTTCACAATTCATGTTTTTATAATTATGTTGTTTTTTGCTGTTGTAAAACTCTGTAAAAGGAATAAATAGCAGTAAGTGTATAGTTTAGCCTTACAGTCTTCCTGGACTGTGTTTGAAATCACATTCTCATATACTGCTTTAAAATATTTCCTGATACTTATATGTTAGTGCTGTCAAACGATTAATCGCGATTAATCGCATCCAAAATAAAAGTTTTTGTTTACATAATATATATGTGTGTACTTTGTATATTTATTATGTCTGTATAAATATACACACATACAGTATATATTTTGAAAATATGTACATGTAT